GGACGGACGGTCATCTGCTCAATCACCGGCGGATGCACTTCCAATCGCGCGTATCCACAACCACCGTTCACGAACTCCTCTTCGCCGACGACTGCGCCCTGAACACCACCTCGGAAGAGGAGATGCAACGGAGCATGGACCTGTTCTCCGCCGCCTGCGAGAACTTCGGTCTGGTCATTAACACGCCGAAGACGATGGTGATGCACCAACCGCCACCCAGCTCAGCCACAGCCCCCAACGCGCCGCCGCATATCAGCGTGAACGGAACCCAACTGCAGGTGGTGGAGAACTTCCCGTACCTGGGAAGTACCCTATCGCGCAACACCAAGATTGACGACGAAGTCGCCAACAGGATCTCGAAAGCCAGTCAAGCCTTCCGTCGCCTCCAAAGCACAGTTTGGAATCGCCACGGTCTTCAACTGAGCACGAAGCTGAAGATGTACAAGGCCGTCATCCTGCCGACACTACTGTATGGAGCGGAGACTTGGACGGTGTACGCAAAGCAGGCACGTCGTCTGAACCACTTCCAGCTCAGTTGTCTTCGTCGCATCCTGAGGCTAAAGTGGCAGGATCGAATTCCCGACACTGATGTGCTGGAACGGACGGGAATCCTCAGCATCTACGCCATACTGAGGCAAATTCAGCTGCGCTGGAGCGGCCACCTGGTGCGCATGGACGACGAGCGACTACCCAAACGGCTCTTCTACGGAGAAGTCGCGACGGGTTCTCGCCATCAATGAGGCCAGATTCGCCGTTACAAGGATACACTGAAGCCCTCCCTGAAGCGTCTGCAAATCAACCCGATCAACTGGGAGGAGCTCGCACTCGATCGACCGACCTGGAGGAGGACAATGAAGACAGGCGCTGCGATCTACGAATCCAACCGCATCGCTGCCGCCAAAGCGAAACGTGAAGCCCGCAAATCACAACTTCGCCCAGTAAGCAACGCTGCCGCACAACCGCGTCCAAAGTGTCCTCGATGTCAACGGACATTCCGGGCTCGAATCGGACTTGTTGGACACCTTCGGATCAACTGCACCTCTCAAACTGCTCCAGGCATCATCCCCCTGCCCGCCTCTTCCTCCTCCTCTCTGCCGCCAACTAACTCTGACAATTCTTCTGACCCACCACCACTACCATCATCATCATCATCATCATCATCATCATCATCATCATCATCATCATCATCATCATCATCATCATCATCATCATCATCATCATCATCCTCCTCCTCCTCCTCCTCCTCGCCCACTGCTCCAACGGCGGCCGCTCAGGCGACTGTCCCGCGCACAGCAACCGACATTACCACCACCTCCCCCGACTCCAGGGATGAGGATCAGGACTACACCTGCCCTCACTGCGACCTTACCTTCACCTCACACATCGACCTGGTCGGTCACTTGCGAATCCATCGCACAGAGACTGGCGAAGCAGTGCGTGAAGCACCAACCTACACCCACCGCACTCGCCTCCACTGCCCACACTGCCCTCGCACCTTCACGCATCGCATGCGCCTAACCGGCCACATGCGCATCCACGACGACTTGCGGTAGACAACCGCCGGCCACATCACACATTCACTCACTCCCTACGTCCTCCACCACCACCATCACCCCATCAGAAATCAACACTCACACACCTCATGCACCCAACTGCCACCTCCCACGCAAGTGGGAAGTCCGCATCTCGACTCGGTCCCCATGCGGCTTCGGCTGCACGGGTGACTTGAGTCCGAGACTATCCCGACACGTCAAGCGTCGTGGATAGGAAGGTTGCTGATTGACGCCCGCTCTCGGTTCACGCAGTTCGTCGCGTTGTGTTTGTGTGTGTTGTGTGGAGTGGCGGACTGGTGGGTTGGGGACGGGCTGAAACAGCACCTTCCACGGCCCTCTCACGCAAGTGAGAGACAAGCCGCTCAACCTCCGTTGTGTGAAATCCAGGTGTTGTGTGCGTGGGGGGCCAGGTCGTGCCGTGGCGCGCGTAGTCATGGTCAGTCGACCATGACAGCCACCGCGTCCATTCCCAAATCCAGTCTGCTGGCCGGCTCGGATAGCGGCTGGGGTGTGGGGATGGGAAGGGAGAGTGAGCTCGACGACTCAGCGCATTCTCCTCACTAAAAAAACAATATGACGCGCTTGAAGCTATCACGGTGCGCTAAAAGCCGTGGCTTGGAAGGTTGCCAAATGACGGGGTAACTTGGACCTCCTCCTTTACAGGAGGCGGTCTGAGAGTCAGGCTGCAATGGCTCTTTTTTAATGTGGCCTTTATGGCTCTCCCATCACAGTGTTGGATCCGAGCCAGGCGTTAGCGGCACGCCCAGGTGCGGCTTCGACCGTGCCAGCCTCCAAGTCTCTGCTGTGTTGGTTGAAATCCTGGTTATTTGTTGTGTGGACGACGGGGTGTGATGGAACGCCAAGGTGAGGATCCGTCCGAGCCATCCACCTGCGGCCTCCCTCGTCTCCGGTCTTCTTGACTCTGTCTTGACATCGGGCTCGGGCGAGGAAGGATCAGAGAGTGTAGGCAGATGCTAGGCAAGTTTACCGGCACTATAAACCCCTGCGTAAGTCACCGTCCCTGCTCCCATTGCTGCCGCAACTGTAGGGCACACGGTGGACATCATCGAAACCGGTGGTCGAACTGTCATTATTATTATTATTATTATTATTATTATTATTATTATTATTATTTTGGAAGATCTCGCAGTCTGGTTGCTGGGAAATAATCAGAAGGTGGTCGGTAGGCTTAATAAGAGACCTCGACGTAACCACAAAAGAATGAAGTTATTAGTGGTACAAGCTCGATTTAAAATGCTTCGAAGGTGGGGAAACGCGGAGTAAATGGCAATTCCGAAGAAAGTAAGATCCTAGGGTGTTGAGAAATTAATGCCTGCAGGAAACCGTAAGCGTCGCTGTGTCGCTGATTTTATATCATCTGGAGGACATATCTATGAATCAAAATAAGAAAGTGTTCGCATTCCGTTCTTTTTGTTGAAAGAAGAATTGATTCCTTGTGGCTTCGTCACAGCTCGTGCTGCAGAATTTTTCCTTAGCATCGCCCCAAGGAATGTTCTTCGTAGAGGAAGAGCGAAAGAAAATAAAAGCATCACTTAGTAAAATAGCCCATTTTTGATAGCATTCACTTAGTCTCCCTGAAAGAATTCGCATAGCTCTAGACCGAAATGCTAATGGACTGCTGAGATGGAATCGCAGACCATAACTGCTACGCCCAACGCCCTACCATTTCTGTCCCGGTGACGGCTATAAAACCCGAGAAACAACAGCCCTTATTTATGCCAGAAGCTTCTAAAGTTGAGTTAGTGACCGAAAACGTGTCTGTTATGTAGAATTAAATGACAGAATCTTGGCTTTGTTTTTGTACGTTTCTTCGTCCGCGGTATTTCAAAACGTCGTGCGCCGCAGATGTTCAGTGTGCCTAGAGTAGAATGGGGACGCTTGGCATTCCATTTGTCCCAGGTGTTAGCCTGCCCGAGCGCCACAGGATAAAAGCCAAGAATCTGGATTCTAGGTTGCAACAGTTCTGCCCGTCTCAGTTTAGAAGGTGAGCAAGGTTTGCTTTTTTGCAACGTTGCAGGACAAAAGCCCTTGCATCGACCGGGTACAACGGCCTGTTCGAAGCAGCTAACTGGCTTTTACTTCACTCGCAAGACCCATGTATTGATGAACGGATTCCGCGTGAATTTTGTCTGTTTCTCTGCCCCCACTCAATTTTGCACTCCAAGGTGCACGAGTTTTGGTGCGATAGTTTGGCACACGAGTGTTGGAACCACGCCCATGAATATCCTCCCCACATCACACTCATTTCTGGCCTGCGAGTACGACATCACCTTGTTATGATTTCTTCAGGTTCCTGATGATAAAGTCATTGATTCGCATATCGCTTTTGACAATGTCGTCGCCTCGATGGGAGATACTTTTCCACTCCATAGTATACCATTAAAGTTGCATATCTCCGCCGACTTCATTGGATATATTGTTTCGAGTGACAAAATCAATTCCCTACTCAATGAGCTGTGCGAAAAGTTTATTGCACAACTTACCTCAAGTAAGGAATTTAGATTTCAATTATTGATTGCTTGATTTTTTAATATTTTAATGTCAATACAGATTCAACTACTTTTTTGACATATCCAAATTCCGGCCGCGTCACCTAAGTCCTGTCTTGCTACTGCACTAGGTATTTAAACGCGGCCGCACTGGTTGATAAACATGATACTTAGATTTCATTGCAACTGCAACTACATGATCACGTCAGGCCCTTACCAATTACCCTTAAGTAGATCTGATTTTCCACCACCTCATGGGTCGATTTGCTTTTTCTCTGACAACATTTCTTATCTCCAATAATAACAACAGTTCTCACTTGCGCTTGTTTCGACTCGAACTCGGCTAACCGGAAATGCTGCCTTACGCAATGACGGTACAGCGCGCCCACTGCAGGTGGTTTTTCTCTTCTCAGTACGTTGTCGACAGGTTTAATTCCTCTCCAAAGATGACCCCTTCCCTCTCCACCCTCATCTATCGGTTCCTTCACACACGACGCTTTCACTGTCGTATCAGCTGTATAATTACGTTGCCTCGTTCGCACCCCTTGATTCACTATTTGAATGCACGACAACGAACTTAACTTGTCAAGGAGGCGGTGTTGAATGATGCCATCAAATTTCGAGGCCTAATATTCATATGCAGAGGATCTTTGCACGTTTTTGCATCATTATTCACTGTTATATGAATAGTCTAAAATAAATGAACTATTACAAGTGACGAGTAGCGCGGAAGGGTGCTAAGCAGTAAACAGCACGGAAGATAGTCAGACCTATGAAGGGGCTGCGACGAGCCATGTGAGGTTAGGTAGAACAAGTGAAACAAATGAGCAGAATTAAATGTAGGCCATACATTCGAAATGAAGAGCAAGGGAAGAAAAGAGCTATTAGGCAAGGCCTCGTTACCAATTAGTTGCAAGGTTGATCATTAGATCTATCCGCTTGCACAGCTCTAGGATATTTGTCCATATTGTAACGGTCTCATAGCAGCGTAATTGGCCTGTTTTCCCTTGCGCGACGGAGGATTTTGGACGCCAATTTCACATCCATACAGTGGCCAGTGCCCAACAGATACTCCGTGACTTAACTTCAGATATCTTTCCTTCTCGAAAAACGCTTTGATGTGCCTTGGTGACCGAGCTGCTAGCTGTCTTCGTCCGCGTCCAGTCAACTTAAATCTACAACCGCATGCAAACTAGTGAACAAAGGGCTGCCGCGTATCGCCAATTCAAATTTAGGTTGTGATGGTCTTTGGGGAGCTCAGAAGTCTTAGGCGCATGTCTGTTTAATCCTGCCACAAAATCACTTGGTCCTATGAACGACGTCTCCATGGGAGTGGAGGTAAATGTCCCCCAAATTATTCACGTTGTCAGTTCTGTGTTGATTTCTTCGATTATCTGTTATTAAGTCCGTCGCCTTGGAGGAAATTTTCCGCATCCAAACTCACTGCAATCCGCTTAATGATAACAGGACGATTTCATCTGTAGCCTAATTAATGGCCACCCGGTGCGTTCATAAGTGGTGGATAATGGGACGACCGTCAACGGGGGTTAGCCGCGAAAAAACAAGCTCTCGTGTTTGGAGAATCAGCGGTCGCCAACCAGCAGCGACAGTACCACCATGATGTCAAAGGCTGTGATCTGCAACGTCGCCTACCTTCTAGAATGCCGTAAAGTTCGACGATGGTACTCTGGTGGGACAATAGTTAACCACCGTTAGCTAAGAACACTAACCATCGCTGCCTCGTGGATAGGTTTCTGAATCCAAGTGCTGGTGGAAAAAGCATTGAATAAGCAAATACACCCGGAATTCCTAAGGAACCTCATGAAATATACGATTTACGTTTTGCAGTCAATGCCTCCGTGTCCACGAGCACCGCCGCACTCCAAGTATTCTGCTGAATAGTATGGGAGCTGGATTACTCAGCCGAAAACTGACACTTACCCTCGGTTGGTGGAATGTCCGAAAGTTCTGCGACTGGTATCCAAAGTCTCAGTGCTCAATTCCCACCGGTGTGAAGCAGATTTGTACCGCCTGCCTGAGATCCGAGTCCCCGGGAGGTCTGTAGCAGAGTCTTACGCGACTCTTCTCATAGGCACGGTGTGACGACTGCCCATTCGCAACAATCGAATTATGCACTGTCTGCCTGGTGGCCATTCAGTGACTGGCTAACCTACGTACGACCGAAGGGATCCCTTATCAACATTGCTATCGTCCCCATCTACGCGCCGTCATCTGCGGACCAACGCAGTTAAGATACTCCCCGCCTACTGAAGCAAGGACTGGCTGAAAGACTCATTCATCATGATCTGCTGATTGTTGCGACGCTCGCGAACCTCATTTTTTGCCAAGTTTTTGGTACTGAGTAACTTTGTTCGCGATGGGAGTGTCGGGTTTATTGCTGACAACTCGGCCAGGGTTATGCGCTAGTGCGTGTCTTTTGGGCACATCAGCTTTGACGACCAGTACACCACCTCTTTTCCTATGCGGCAG